CTGTGTTTTTATGTAATAATATAATATTTATATTCGTTTAAAATGAAGAATATGCTCAAATTCAATTCAAAGATATGTGTCTTATTTGTCTAGGGTAATAATATGTGTTGTGTTGTGTGTGTTGTCAGTGCGTCGTATTAAAAAGAAGCTGTTGAACAAATAAGTTTCATAACGGTCAAAGCTTTCTCATAAATGTGAGAGACTAAAATTGAATTGTCAGATATGGAAGTCATAATTTGACAACTACTGACAAACGTCACCTGAAGTTTGACGGATAAAATGAAACTATAATTAAGTTCCAATGAGTTGGACGTTTGTGCCTCTTGAATATCTTCTGTTTCTGAAGTATTTGTGTTCTTGTTATATTCTTCAGTTGCTGTCGCCTGCGTCAGGTCCAGTCTCTTCTCCTTGGGGGAGGTGCCACCACTCCTGATGGCATCCTGTGCTCTCTTGGTACGTCTATCGTTTTTCTGGTTAACTGCACTGAGAACTGTTGAGACTGGAGGAAAACTATTTATAACAGATTCTGAATAAAGCAAGTTATGAGTCCAAATCAAAAACCAGCCAATGAATATCACTGCATTGTTTGTGTGTATTTGTAGGAATTGACAGCAGATATAATGGGGGGTGCACTGAGCTGGCCAAATACCTTTTCTACGGACTCTACGGAAGAAATCAGCTGAATCTGGATCACGTCCTTGAGGAGTTTCCTGAGGAAATGCTCGATGGTAAGTTCACTCGATTTTCAACCATATTTTTGTGCTTTATTTTAGTTTTTTCACTCTGACTCTAAACTTCTCCCCTCGACAGATGTGATCCTGCTGATCAAGGCCGAGTGTGTTCATCTGTACTGCAACCCACTGAACTACAGTTACCTGTTGCCCTACGTCTCTCACTGGAGGAACCTGCATCTTTACTGCATGACAGAGGCAGAGGTAATGAACCCTCCGCCCTTCATCCACCAGTGCTGTTAATTATACTTCCTGTGTGCTTAATCTAGAAGTAGGAACATTATCAAGGGAATTTATGTTTGTTGATATGTCCCCCTGGCTGCAGTTTTAACCCTTGCAGATTACGATCAATCTTTTGTGAGCATTTGTTTATGAGTCAAGTCAGCTTAGGTTGTATTCTAGTAAGTATTATTTACAAACACACCTGATATTTTCTGAGCTGGCTCTCTTTAAAATACTCATATTGCTTTGAAAACTCACATAGAAATAGTTGCCGCCCCACTAGTTTGTAGTTTGGTTTGTTATTCCTTTGCTCAGTTTCACACCCCTGTAATTTCCCCACCTCCGTTCCCAGTATGAAGACGAGGAAGCCGCAGAGGAATTCAAAATCTCCAGCTTTGTGAGGATGGTGCAGGACTGCTATCGGATCGGAGTGCCGTACAGCTCCCAGGGTACATTTTATCACATTTTAATCACCACGTTTTTTCCACTGCTCACCCATTCAAGAGATAATTAAGTTCAAACGGTAATTGCACGACATTACATATCAGTGTCACTGTCTTAATAGCTTGTACTTTCTGTGTAATTACACCAACAGCACATGTAATTATGCTTTATTTTACTTTTATGTTTTACTTTATGTTTTCAGGACACATCCAGAAGTTTGATATGTTCACGGTGGAAAAGTGGCCCCTTATTCAAGCATTTGCTTTGGAAGGCATCGGTGGAGGAAGCTTTTTTACCATTAAATACAAGGTTTGTTTAAACATGTGAAAAATGCGTTTGTTAGACTCTGAGGTTTGAAAAACACGTCAGAATGAGTTTGACGGTTGTTGCACTGTGCTCCTTGTATCTGCCTGTTTTATTCATATCGTATGTTTCTGTTTTTCTTCCAGCTCATAGATATAAGTGAGAAACTTTGGCAGGTGTACACCAGACTGGACCCAGTGTCTCTGGACAGCCTTCTCGCTGAGGTATTGCCGAGTTGATTCATCTTCTTTTTCAACTTTTATAGGATTGTAGTGTTTTACTATATGACACTTAAATCATCTGATATATAAACATATATAATCCATTAAGTTGAGCATAAACACTCAACGATAGTTTGATTATTTTGGCCTTGTATGGATAATTTGCCACCGTTAATGATACTTGCTACATGTAAAGTTGAACACAACCATACGTTGTTTTTATTTTTTATTTTAGGACTTAATTAACTTTGAGAAGCAGTGGAGTGGCTTTTTCTCCAGCATGGACCTGGAGAGCCATCTGTCCATCCTCGAGCTGTCTGAAGCTCAGGCAGGGGAGGTGAGTTTATATCCTTCAGAATCCTACACTATAATATTAGGAGGAACATGTTTAAAAATAATTAAAAAAATTCTAAATGAATAATAAAAGTTGAGAGAAAATATAGTAACAAAATCAGATATTAAACATATTTTCTATTGATCATTTAGAAGGAAGTAAAGTGTTGTAATGTGTTTTCTCATGAATCTACAGGCATTCCGTTCTTATTACTCTCACGGACTGATCTCCAGCAACATCACAGATAAAAGGTATTCTTCATATTGAACAAACTACTGTTATGTTATCTTGTAGTTTATATGAAGTCAAAATACTACTACTTTGATATGCTTTATCAAACGTGTCTTTGTTTCAGTAAAAGCCAGCAGCCCTTTGTGTTGTTTGGGAAGCACTCGTCGTCAGAGGACCTGGAGAACGATTCGTTCAACTTTCCTTCAGAAAGTCATCAGGTCCGCAACACGGGGCCTCAGGGTTCCACAGCCACACACATGGTGAGAAGCTCTCGACTGATACTGTCTGAAACAGTGTTGTGTGAAACATTGACCAAGCTAACGCTGTGAAATAACCTCATTAAATGAATCTCAATGAACCTGAATATAAACACAACATGTCTCCATTAAAGACGAACACATGCCTGCAGCACCACCTGGTGAAGAGTGTAATTACAACCATCAGACAGTGATCTACACAGCAGTGTTGTGATAAATCATCATGCCTGGAAACATGCTGATCACATGTCTTCTGTAAATATGAGATTCAGATCATTGATTGTATCTTTTAAAGACATATTTTCTTGTCCATCAGGTTCTGCAGTGTGTGGCTCCTAAAGGACCGTTAGCCTGCTCCAGAACCTATTTCTTTGGGACCACCCACTCTCCATACCTGGGTGAGGGTTTACTACATGACTTTGTCAATGTACTTTTCAACTGTGTATTTGTAAAACGATACTAGTCTCTATGTTATTCTCCTCAGAGTATAATTCATTAACATAGGGGTTAAAGTAATAACTAATCCCGTAATTTGCATTGCTCTGTGTTTGGCCCACAGGAAATCAAAATGCGGAGCAGAAGAAAATCGAAGTCTTGTAAGTGATTCATATTTAGATAGAGAAATTTATGGAGATTAAATGTTTGAGAATATTGGAATGAGAGAGTTTTTCTATTTTTCAGACTTCTATCACAGATTTATTCAGCTGCTGTTCAAGCCGTCCTTTCAGGAATCAAATGCTACTCCTGCACATCTAGCGCCACCAAAGTAAGAAAAACAAAAAAACACCTGTTGTAACATGTATCTTACTTCAAGTACAATTACTCATAGAGAAGTGTTTATTAATCCAGGCCAAGGATGTAGCAGAGAACACCTTCCTCGTGGCTTTGGACCTAATGAATTTAAGCCAGTACCGCAGTTTTCTCAGGTACAGATTGATTTTCATCTTTTCACTGTGTGAGACGTTTAGCCGAGCGTGAAATGAAATGAATTGTTTGAATCGCTTTTGATTGTGTGTTTTCTCTCATCAGGTCCAAATGTGAATTCAGCATTCAGGCGGTGAACAAGGACGGGAGGTGTGTGTTAACGTGTCCTGTGAGGTCATCTGTTAAGCATCTGTGTCATCTCCTTCACATTTGTGTAATTTGATATCGAATCACAGTAAGTTATACTTTTTTTTTTTGCAGGATTATTCCTCTGACTGATAAGGAAAGCCGTTATGTGTTGAAAACAGTAAGTTAGACATTTTGAAAATACTTCCTGTCCTCTGAAAACTTAATTGTCATCCTCACTAATTGGACTTTTGTCCAAGGCCTCCATGACCATCCATGACATCCCCGACCTGCAGAGCAACAGAGGCGACCTGGGCTCTGTCGTCTTCTCTGAATCCTTCTTAGAGTCCAGCATCAATATCCAGCAGAAAGGTACAATATAGAATACTTGACTGTTAACAGGAGGCTTTTTGAAACAACAGTAGTTTAAAGATGGACTGTTTCCTGACCTGAGGATCATATTTGTGTCATCTTCGTCATTCTGTGGCTTGTGTCATCTTGTTTCCTGTCCTGCAGATGGCACTGTGTCCTCAGACAGCTGCTACACCATCCTGACGACAACTGTGCCTCGCTATGCCTGCTGGCTGGTACGTGCACAGCTGAAAATAAGATCCATATTATAATATTGTCAAAAACATGTTTTGGATTTGGAATAATTTCTTCGTCTACGTTACAAATACACCGCATGGGGTTTTTCCTCCAACGTTGTTTGTTTATGGTTTTTAGATGGAAGCGGATGTAAAGCAATCTGAGCAGGCCCAGCATCTTACGAAGGTACATTCAGAGGCTTTATTTGCTCACTCCACACATGCCTGTCTACCCCCAAGTGTTGTATGTATGAGTGTGGTATGTAACGACCCACAATATGTGTTTCAATAGAAAGAGGAAGGTACTTGTTTGGGAGCCGCTCTGACTGTAGCAGATGCTGCATATGTTTTCTCCAGCAGCCAGCTCTCCACGCCTGAAGAAGGTGACACTCTCACATGAGTCATTTTTCATACTTCCCACTCAGCGTATCATACGTAATGTGACATAGAGTTGAGATTCTGTGTAATTTCTTTTTATTGCTTGTTTAAATTAAAATTATAGGGAAGATCATCTTCTTCTCTGAGGGGATCCTGTTCATACACTCTCAGTACGGGAGCATTACTCTGTCCAGGGATCACATCAGCACCATCAAGTTCTATGATCCGGTATGTGTGTGTTAATAATATGAAAATTAGTTTTCACATTATATGTTCAGTTGTTTTCTTACACGTCAGCCCCTCTGTACAGAAAGCTTTGTTTTGTGTGTCCTCCTCTCACCAGGACTCCAGTGCTGTGGCTTCTCTCTTTGTAGAGTACGACAGCAGCCTCCTCCCACACCTCCCGTTCCCTCTCCACAGCTCGGACCAATGTCTGGTCTTTGCTCTTCAGCCGAGGTCAAAGAGCCACAGGGCCTTTTATTCCAAGGTAAGACCTTCAGCCAGTGACCTGACGGGGATCGTCTGAGTGGAGCTGATTCCGAACCTTATCATGACCATGTTACATAAATCAAAGGATCATTTCATAGTTGTGGTAAACACACAGTAAATGCTGGAATAGTTATTATAGCATCACTTTGTGTTAAAGCATTAACCCCTGTTTATCAATCCAACTGTGACTGGAAGTATTTATTTCTACATCTCCAGTTGTGTGACCCTTTTCTCTTTTGCTGTGTTCAGGTTTTTTCAGTGTGGCAAAGCTCTGAATCTGGACTCACTCTGCAGCTACTGGACCAAGATCAACTGAGTTGGACCCAAAAAAACATGTAAGGCTGCACAATTATATTTCAAGCTGTCTATTAAGATTGTAATTTTGGGTTTATCATCAATCAATCCCTTAAATAGTTCAACATTTGAATTTAATCTCTTTTTAATTTCAGGCAAACCAGACTCCAGAAGCTGCACAACAGTCAGGAGCCACCAGTGGCCAAACGCAGAGGCAGCCTGAAGACTTCATACTCTCAGCTGCCAGAGCAGGACATGTTAGTACACAGAGCGGTCTCACACTAAAGTCCCTCAGGGTTGCACTGAACAAGTAATAAAACCTGATGCTGCTATAGGTATTGCTTAATCATCAGTATGTATTCCCAATGTAGTATTTAAGCCTGTGTTTCTTGACGCAGAGTTTTTATCAGTGCTGACCAGCCACTCTTGGAAGGTGTGTAGAAGATAATGTAGCTTCATTATCTGGCCGAAAATAAGCAGCGCACACACTCTATGACTGATCTGTAGAGCTGAAACAAGGGAGCATGTGAAGGCACTTCTTGGCAACTTTTTAGTCCTCCCAAATCGGTCCTAAATCTGTCACCGGGTATAATTAGACGTCCAACTGTTTTATGTATTTGTACCCCAAATTAACATACTGTACCGCACTTATGAATTATAGCTGCTCCCTTTGCACAACTTTGCATTTTTATTTCTAACGGCTTCCCCCCCCACCAGAGAAAAATTAAAAAATATATTTTTTATTTTAGTGCTAAAAGGCAAGTAAAGAGAGTTCAAGACCGTGCTCGTGGAATAAAGTCTTAGCTGAAAAATTGCTGCAAAGTCCATAATACAGGGTTTTAAAAAGTCTAAAAATATTATGTCAGGCCTTAAATAGTTTGTTACGTACATAGTTTGTAATGTTTCCTCGTGTTGTAGATATTTCTCCGTGATACAGATATTTGCCGTTGTAATAAAACTACGTGGAACTGACAACTGATTGTTTACAAACACCTCGGCCAGAATTGATCTCAGTTCTGGGAAATACTTTGAATTCCTTCTATCTCTGACTTTGTAGAGATCACATGAGGAAGTGCAAGTAATTCTGGGCCTCTGATATTCCCTCATATCTGTCGTACCGGACACAGACGAGGTTTTGAATCTGTTTTCACTGATCGCTGCCTTCTGGCCCTCATCAGGTTTCTTCAGCACTTTGCTCTGAGTAGCATCAGCCAGGAGCCCATTCTGTACGACCACCTGGGAGTGCTCTTCCCCTCCGCAGAGCTGAAGAACCCAGTCGCTGGGCAGGGAGACAAGGTGAGCATGTCGACTGTAGTGCAGCGGATCCTCTTTTGAAAATAACATGATAAACTCTATTTAATGGTAAAGCTGATGAATTACATATCTAAAGTGGACTTTTTAATGTGTGATAGGTTGTCATTACCATCGTCACTGGACTCCCTGGAAGCCACAAGAAAAGACTCTGTGACTTCCTGGTCCAGCTGAACAAGGAACGTGGACGGTAAGAGCGACAACATCCAACAAGATGCTCTTTGTTGTGTTCTTTTCTGCTCACACTGTACGTTTGAGTGGTTCTAATAATAATGATAATGAATGCAAGAGAACAGATACAGAAATAATTGAACTAAATCTTTCATTGCATCTGTAGGTGGGTGGTGTACGAGCCTGGTTCCGACAGCTTCTCGGCCTCTCACCTCCAGCAGTATTTGTCCAGCTTCCTGGAGATCCAGAGAGGGCGAGGAGGGAAACCCCGTCTGTTGGTGCTGTCACCCGGGTAAGTCCGCAGCTCAGCTTGACACAGCTCAGAATTTAGGAGACTTGGCCAGAAAATGAGAGCTGAGCAAAATTCAGGTGTTTTATTTTGAAGACATCGCATGTTCATTTCAAAGAAATTCTATTTGAAATACACAGATCATTTAATCTTACCACATAAAACTTGTTTTGTCTCAATCCTTCTTTGTCACTGTCTTTAAAATTGACAGATGTTCTTCTTGTACAGTTACACAGATGTTCTCGATGTGGTCCAGGCTGTGCTTTTCCACCCTGACCCAGTTATACAAGCGTGTTTCTCCATCGGGGCCGTCACTGCCTCTGTGGACCCATCTGCTTCCTGTTTGGAGCACAGGTGAGATTTCTTGTGAGCCTCAAACTCTTCACGTAAATACTGAATAAAAAAATACAGAAGAGCTCAAGTGAAAGGCACAGTGCTGCGAGTGCAAGTAATAAACCGAGGTCTCCATACCCGCTGAGAGCGAGAGAGAGAGAGAGAGAGAGAGACACTAAACAACACCCTGCCACTGTTTAGGTCATTGATGGAAACACTGAATTTATTAATTGATTTAATTATATCCTGCTCTGATCAATGTAATGATCAGCCTGCACCCAACAGTTGGATACTTCAGTTTATGTCATTATCCAGCTATTGCTTCACAGTTGATGCCCTCAAGCAGAACCGCCTGCTTCATTGTTTTTTACGATCAAGCAACTGTCGGTATTATTTCACATGAACAGCGTCTTTAAGAAAACTTCACTCAAAATGAATGTGGAGAAAATTCACACAAATTCAGTGGATTTGATGATTTAGTTCAACAACGAAACGAAAGTCAGCTGTGCTGTAGAACCCATGTTTATATCTTCCTCGTGCTTAGTATGTTCCAAAAACACACATTTTACTTTTCAGCACAACCCGCTGTTTATATTGTTTGTTTGTGGTCAGTGCAAGAAGTTGTGGTTTGCATGCTTCGAAGGGCTACTAACAACAAACGTAAGCTGCATGTTCATCCCACCAGATGATGACAGACAGCGCCGGATGTTGATAAATTGTTAGATGTTTCCAGGACGAGGTTACATGACACTTTTAGCTATTAAAACTCAAGGCTGGGTCCATTTTGCAGAGCGGATCAGTCCTACATTTAATCTCACTCTCCTTTTGTTACAGGCTTTAGATGAAGCTTACAGAGCTTCTCACTATCATAGATTGACTGAGCTGCTCCGCACAATATGACATACCACTCAAGTTAATAGGCAGTTTTCCGGTGTACAGCCAAGCTGGGTTGCCCAGTGATACTCACAAACAGATGAAGTCGCTCTAGAGACTCTAGCTTTTACAACATGCTCTTGGAAACCCAGAGAAATGTGTCTCGAAATGTGTTGCAACAAATGAAAAGTATAAAAATTCAAATTTGCACTCAAATAACAGGAAAAAAACGAAATCTGTTAGTCTTTTAGATGAGGTGATTTCCCACCGAGCCTTACTTTAATAATAAATCTGAAGGGTGTTTGGATCCTGTGCTATAAACAAGCTGTGATGTCTCTTGACGGGCCCTACTTGGCTCAGCAGTGGAAAAATATGTAATGAGAGGTTTAGCAATGTGGTTATCGCTGACTTTTCCATTTGAGGCATCTTCAGCAAGCCCCCTATCACTGTCTGTTGCTATAGATTGTCTGGAGGTCTGTGGAGCCTTACTATGGCGCTAATTGGGTGGTGGCTAGCTCAGTTTAGGCCTGACCTGCCCGTCACCCCCCCCCTCTGCATAGCCCTCTAATCCCCCAGATCCACATGTGCGACCAACACACCCTCCTCAGTGAAGCTCATCAGTCAGTCATGATCCATTCTTTGTGATGGATGTAGACAGTTCATTACATCAGGACAGGAAAGATAAATGCCCCCCCCCCCCCCCCCCTTCCTAGGGGGGTCTGCAGTGGCTGGGGGGGGGGACCAGGCTCACGACGGTTCCTCAGAAAGCAGTGTCTAACTGTGATCGATTTGAAAACTCTGGATAAATTTTGTTAAGATTAAATGAGATTACAGAAAGCTTTTACATTGGTCAGTTGCCAGTCATAGTCATGACGTCGTCCTATGAAAAATGCCTTATGATGGATAACTGGCTTGTTAGCAAAGGGCCATAACATGGAATTAGTCTGTTTATGGCTGCACAACCTTGGCAAGCGCCCATTAGTCATAAATAGAGTTATTGTTAGTGATGATATTGTGGCACAAGACGCGGGTTAAAGGTCGGATTTAAGAGGATCTCTCTGCAGGAAGAGAATCATAATATTCATAATTATTTTTTCATTAGTGTTTAATCACATGAAACAAAAAATTGCTGTGATTTTCTCACCTTCGAATGAGTCATGTATTTCTAAACTGGGAGCGGGTCATCAAACATGTTTGATGTTTCTACCAGGGGGCGTGTCTCTCTCCCTTCTTACATCATCCAGTACGGATCTAGAAACATGATTTGATGGAATATGAATTAATTCTTTGTTTGATATAAACATTCATCTGCCATTATAAAGTAATTTATGAAAGCATGATTGATATTAGGTTAATGACGCAGATCTTTGTTTGCAAATCAGGAACATAAACCAGTTGACTCATGGATAGAGGTTTAATACACAGAACATTTTGTATATTCAACCAAAGTTTTACTTGTATCTTGTCTTTGCTGTTAGGTTTGCTTTTCCCAAGCTGTTGGAGCAGTGCAGCCAAGGTGAGTCCTGTCTGTGCAGCGTTCTGCTTTACAGACAAAAACACATGCAGGATAAGATACTGAGGAAACACCACATTGATATTCACTGGTACTGATTTTTTGTAAGTGTAATCCCCTTTAAGAAGTCAAATACATGTCATGTTACCAGGTTGATATATACATAAAACTCGTAAAGATCATAAAGTGTATGGATTTTGTCAAATGGAGTCACAGGAGAGGTTACAAGAGGATTACATGATAATTTCAGCTTCTCACAGTAAAGACGCAAGTTGGACGTCAGTGAAGAAGTGATGTGTTAATGTGTTTGTGTGACGGGTTTTTTTTACCCTCGTCATTGGACGTCACTGCCACACTGAAAGTCTTCCTACACTTGTGAATATTATACATTTTAAAAAGAAAAGTAAAAGCTCTGCTAACCCTCTTACAGCTTTCTGACATATTGAAGATGTTGTATTTTGTTACCAGTGGTTTGTGAAGTTTTCAAAATGTCACGCCTCCAGCTTGCAGGCTGGATACAGCTGCAGTAAACAGACAGAGTGTAAAATATGGTATTTCTGCAGTGGCGACACGGACGTTGTGTTTTCAGTAAAGTGAGCCAGTTTCTCCTGGAAATTCATATTCCCTTCCTGTGCCTTGTTGTATGTCAGGTATTGTGAGTACAGTGGTGTTCACGGGGCTGACAGCGGAGCAGAAGCACCCTCTCATGCAGCATGTTCAGCAGTTGGTACGCTCTGCCAACCCCACTGCAGCCTTCATCCTCGCAGAGAGAGGAGCTGTCACCAGGTAGAAACCCACAGAATCATGATCAATGCTGCAAGCAGTCATTTAGCTGCTTCTGTCTTCTCACCTAAAATATTCACTCTGTGCTACATCTTATTCTGAGTCTGTGTTTAAATGTGTTGGGTCAGTGCTGTGCTCAGTTTGCACAGCGATGTGTCATGAACATTTCCCTTTGCTTTCTTTACTTATATTAATATTAATATTTCAGAGTTTTGGTTAAAAGCTCATTATGGGTAGAAGACTTGACTCCAACAGATTTGGATGTTTGGGGGCTGATGCCAATGCAGATATTAAAGAGTAAAAATAAAAGTGTTCACTCTTTCTTGTGTTTCTGTCTTTATTAGGAATGAGGATGTGAACCTGATACTGTCTGAGACCAGCTTCCATGAGCCACAGATGCTCAGAGCGCGTTATGTCCTCTACCCTGGATGGTAAGACCCTCAGTCTGTGTTCCCCTCCTCTCGCCCTGACCCCTAAGTGTCATCATGTGTCAACAGTCAAACTTTTGACCGCTGAGCAACAGATTGCCGTTGATTCCTGCCTCAGTGTTCCTCAGTCCTGCCTCGTCTCCCTCCCTGCGGTTTAATTGCCACTCTGCCGCAGCGGTGGGGGTATCGGCTGCTGATTGCTGCAAAGCCCCTCAGGACATCTTGTGTTCTATCACCAGATGCCTCTTGGCTGCACAGTAACAAGCTGTTGGCCATGCAGTTGCCATGTACACAGAGGGGGTCTCCTTCCCTTTGGATCCGCTCCATTCAGCCTTCATGCCTCAGTGGTCAGCCTAATATGAACCTCTGCTAAATCCTCCCCACAGATCATACTCTGGATATCTGACCACCAGTGTCTGGCACTGTCGATTTACTCATCTTCGAGCTTTAGTTTGTTCTGTGTGTGTGTGTGAGTGAGTTTGAGCTGCTTCTTAAACATCCTTAACACCAAAACCGTCTTTACCTGCTGATAAGAGAGTCTACATTTACAAACTCATCATCCACTTCCACACTTTGAACAGCACATCACAGTCACTGGCCTCCGTCCTGTGAGCAGCTGGTAGAGTAAACAACTTCACAGCTAAAGAGAAGCTGCAGCACACTTGGCTCGCTTTGGATTTGACTTTGTCACCATTTGTGTCACGTGCACGTGTTCTGTGTTTCAGGTGCAAAGGGCGCTTCTTCTCCGGTTCTGGGTCTCTGGTCCTCACCCAGCAGCGCGTGGCTTTCAACCGGCCCCTGGAGAGGCCTCTATTTGTTGCCCGGTGTAAAGGTGAGATGGAAAGAAAGCCCCCCCTTCTCCCTCTTCTCCTTTTTTTGACTCCTACACGTGACAGAGGCTCCAGATATGAGCTGGCAGGGTTTGATGAAGATTACATAAGCTGCCTTTACTCCAAATATGGAGATAAGTGAAGTCTCAAAGTAATTGTCAGCCAACACTGTGAAATAATCTGTTTTCCCAAAAGATCCACGTCTTGCTGCCAGTTCAGCTTGTTGGGAAAATTGATAATTGTATTTTTATCATCCTCCATTTTTACTATGAAGTGTTTTGTCTTATTTGTTTTTATTCTCTTTTAGCTGTTTAGATGTTTCACTTATTTACTTTTAATCTAATGTTTTTATTTCATGTTATGTCGTCATGTTGTGTGTTTGACTTATTAAAATATGCCATATACTGTATATATATATATATAAACTTGACTTGGCTAGATTAATATTATTATTAAATCCATATCACGCATTACTATTACTGCTCATTTTTCTGTAGCACTCAAGTCATCACTGAAGCCCAGCCCCTTCCGTGGAAACGTGTACAACGTTAAGGGAAAAGTCAAATTCTCTGGTAAGGAATTGTATTTTTATATTTTTTTATTTTCTCAAAAAATAAAAATAATTACGGCTTGTGCTCACTTTTTAAATTTCCAGGTCAGATTTCGAACTGCTGGTGTCTTGGTTTTGTTTAGCATTAATAAACAAATGTGATTTTCTTTCCTTGGTAAATATTTGACCTGCATTTGCGTTTCCCAACTTTTTGGGAATGATTAGAGAAAAGCTGCCCACGGGGGCAGACAGGAAGCTTCGGACGGTAGGAATACTGCTCAGTTGTTGCTCTGGTGTCTGGTGTTTAGAATTCAGCTCATTGTCCACTCGTTTGGTTTCCTCCCCATAGTTCTCTCACTCCTATTTTTCATCTGAAGAGTGTAGAGCTGTTGCATGAGGAGAAAGTGCAGCTGCCTGTGAGGAGATGTGCAGAGAGTGTGCAGAGCTTTGTAGAGAGTTGGGAAGATGGAGGATGGAGGAGTGAGTGTGGAGACTGTTTGATCCTTTGAGATATACTCACATTCCCTTTAGTGTGAATTGTGCATCTCAGTCACTGTGTATAGGGTAGTGTATCATTGACATCACCTTATATTCAGTTATTTTACTTTGCTTTATTTGTTGTATTTAGCTGTCGTACATCCAGTACATATTTTACATTGGGTGAGGGCATATTGGACGTGTTTATTTATCTTGTTTTGTTCTCACGTGACTTGTGTGAGCCATTTTGGGATCAGAGGGGCTGTATGAATGTTTCAGCATTAACACCCCACAAACAGCATGCTGCTGCCATATGAAGCTGCCACAGCAGGTGTTGCACTAGGTGTGAACTGTGTGTGCGATGTTGGATGTGAGCTGCGTTGTCTCTGGAACCTTCAGACTCAGAACAAGTGATGGAGGTGAGCTACAACACAGTGAGCGGGAGCCTGAGCATGGTCTCAGACCAGGGCGCTGACCCGCTCGGCCCGGGCCCCAGAGAGACCAGCGCTTCCTGCTTCCTGGTCTTTGATGGCATCGGCCTGACGGAGGACGGACTGAAGGACTGGATCAGACTGTGCACCAAGCAGGTAGACATTCACACAGCCCGCTGTCTGTGATGGAAATACACTCTGAGACTCGTTCATAGATATTTAATCATGAGTAGGATCAGTCGGATATAAAAGAACAAACTGACTGTGTCGGTTTCTGTTTTTACAGAGACAAACAAAGAAGCCGAAGAAAACTAAAAATAGTCTTTCGCCACATGAAATCAAGACTATACATGTAAGTGTGTTATATTTATCATCGTACATTATTATATAATATATCAGGGGTGGAGTTCTGTGTGGGATGAACTGCTTTGAGTCCACTCCTTCCCTACTCAACTACAAGAAGAATACCAGTAGCTCCAGGAAAGCGTTTGTTTTCTGCAACAACAAAAAAAAAAGCCTTGTCAACTCAAATGTATTCATTTACCTGGAAACTAGAACATGGAAAAGCTCAATATCAAAACATTTTACTGGAAGAGGAATACGTATCTTTCTTGTTTCAGCAGCTTTAGAAAGTTAGAAAGAAACGAATTAAAATAACACTGACAAAGGGTTTTTAAAAAAGAATTCAGACCATTTGCTGTAGTGCAGCAATTGTGTCCCCCCGCATCCTCACCGTAAATATCCTTAAGGTGCGTCCTCCTGTGGCGAACGGGATTGACTGTATATGGCTTACACACCTGCGTATATATGGTCTAACACTTCACACCATCAGGACAGAGCCAGCGAGTCTCTGTAGACCTCCTCTATAAAACTGTGACGAGGCGTAGATCAGGGCGAGGACATAAAACCATTTCTAAAGCTTCAAGTGTTCCCAGGAGCTCGGTGGCCTCAATAGTTGTGAAATAGAAAAAGTTTGGAACCAACAGGAATCCAGCGGTCACTCAGCAAAAGTCCTCTGGAGAGACGGGGAACCTGCTGAAAGGACGACCGTCGCAGCCGCACTACATCAATCAGGCCTTTGTGATGGTGACAAGACAGAAGTCACTTTGAGTAAAAGGCAGGTTGAAGCTCATTCTGAGTTTTTCAGAACATAAAGAAAAAGATTCTCTGGTCTGACGGGTCAAATATTGATCCCTGGTGTTAGAACTCAAAAAGCATCGATCATCTCCCGGCTTATACCATCGAGGGGTCTGAGAAAAAATACGTACCAGGTCTTAAATATGTAAAAGTTATTTTACACACGAGAAAAAAGCAAAGAGGTCTGAACATTTATCTTCTAGAAGAGTTTGACCTACTGAAGGAAATGTTATTGATGTCGATCTTTTCACACGTTTCTGTTCAGATGACCAGACACTTGGACCCACTGCCATCGGGATACTTCTACAACGGTTATCAATATGTTGACATCTTTGGAGAAAAGAGGAGCTTCCATCCCAGTATCCTTTTCATCGTGTTCACACTGTGTTGTTTAACCCCCGACTACAGCTGATCCGTCCCTCAGGCTTGGAAAAAGATTTATCCTCATATTTTAGATGCTAAAACAAAACCCGGTCCAGTCAGTTTGAGTCAGTGTGGGTTTAAAACTCAGCGTTTCTGACTCCGACAAATAATCCAGAGTCTTCATGCAGCTCTGCTTGCATCTGTTTTTGCTCTGTGTGTGTGTGTGTGTGTGTGTGTGGTGATTGATTGTGCCGCTGTTTCCCGTACATTGCTATTACCACAGACATGGAGGAGTTTGTGAAGGAGTACATTGCAGAGGCCAACAAAGAGATCGAGCTATTCAACCGTCAGCTGGAGCTGCTGGGACAGCCCGACCTGTTTGATCCATGATGGAGTCTGTGCGTGTACGTCCACTGCCTCCATCTGTCTTATTTAACTCTAAGGCAACCACTGTGGGAGGGGTAGGGGGGGTTACAGGGTTTATATACCGAACACTAGAATGGTCAATGTGTGTTCACACCACATGTATCTGCAGAAACCACTGCTGCTGCAGGTCCATTCATTTTCTGTGTCGCAGTGTCTCCTGATGTGATGGCACGAAATGACATCACCCGTCCGAGGCCGGTTGTGTCACATCGTGGCCGTTTGCCTCTCTGTCGTCTGCAGCACCGCTAACCGAGCAGTTAGCGCTTTGGCGAGTCAGGTGTCGCTTATCAAATGAAAAGTGGCAAATGGATGTGGTCACTCGTGTTAGTTCAAATCAAGACACGTTCGTCAAGAGATGAGACTTGTTCACAGCTGCAGGCAAATCTGAAACCCAAGCCAGCACAAGACTCCATCTTTAAACCGATGTGATTGCACCACTAAGCCTGCGAGCTAAGAGACTTTCACAATTGAAGGGAATTTCCAGCCACTCGCTCCTACAGCTTGTGCCTTTCTGTTTATCACAGTTGGCAAATTAAAACCTCTATTTCTGGACAGGCATGGATAGCCGTGTGATTCTGGTGAGCTCCCTGGTGGGGTTTCTCAAGAATCGCTCCTCCTCTGTTGTCACCCAATCCACGGCCCACCTGTTAGCTTGTCTGCGTGCCGTGCTGCGGCAGAGGGAGCGCTTGGCTATGGAGCTGTAAACATTGGACAGCCTGTTGGCTGCAGACAGCTGATGGATGATGCCATTAATCACATAGCTCTACGCCACCCAGTGCTTTATTTTAAGACTCCTAAAGTGAATCTAATGAAAGTTCAAAAAAAGCAGACTTCAGTCCCCACAGCAGGTCGTATTATAGAACAGCTGAGGCTTACACCGCAGTCACATGAACATTAGAAACCTTAAAGCACTGCATTCTGGGAGTTAAAATGCTGCTCGTTATCGGTGAGAAACCAGACAGACACAGAAAGGTGAGGAACACGTCCCTGCAGCCGGGTGTGGATCACACATTTCACTGTTTTGATCAAAATTGTATTTTGTTTTCACGTGTGAACATTCCCCCTCTTTACATATATATTTGGGGTTTCTACGTTTGGGTCGGACAAAGGGCAAATGAAATATTCTTGGGAAGCGTCGGTGAGGTCTGGGTAAACATGAGTAGAGCCTCTCGTGAACGGTTTTGTATCAGTGATGTTGCAGAGGATCAGGGTTTGTGATCTGATTGAATCAGTAGTTATATGCGATCGTGTGTCACGCTAATGTTCCACTCCTCAGGGTTCCTCCACACATTTAAAAATCTCCCACTCTGTGTTGTCATGTTTACAGCAGCAGATTTTACTGTAACACACAGATTCACAATCAGAAGCTTTTCAAAACAGAAGTGTGGTAAATAATTAGAGACGGAAAGTTAAGAGACGTGTAGGAACCCTGTTACAGTGTCATTCATTCCGGGGTCAGCAGTGTAACAGTGAATTAATCAGACCACAGACTGTAAATAAAGATGGAGGACACATCTCCACTTCCTCCAGTTTTACAGAAATGAAGCCAGAATGTCCCCATTTTTTATAATATCACATAACTGATTAAAACATCAGAGTGATTAGAATTAAATCTTACATCAAATCTTGTCCATCGACCGGCAGGTGGTGATCAAGAGCTTCACTTTTGCGGAGCTGTGATGTCGTCAGTCTTTATTTACAGTCTAAGGTTCTGACAAACATGCCGATAGTAGTACGATGTCGAACGTTGGCCTGAGGACGAAGAGACGTCCTCCGAGGGGGAAAAGTTTGCTAGCGAGGATTTACACTCGTGCGGATCAGCGGTGATGTCAGCGTACTTCACCGCTGTAAGAGCCAGTGAAATTAAAATGCTCACTACTTTCAGCCGGCAGAAAAAAAACCCAGCAGTGATAACATCATTAGCAAATGATTCCCCCCCTCCCCCACATGACCTGTGTGCATCTGATCAGAGTCAGATAATCCTGAACTCAGCCTGACACTGCTGCCCCCCCCACCCCCCCTCCTCTCAGCAGAGTCCGCTGGGACCCGAACAAGCCATACCACCCGACGCTAGATGTGCCACTGTCTCTTAATAATAATGCATTGCGCAGAATAGCATAGTAACAAGCAATGACGTGCGTCTCTTGGCCTCATGTATTTCCTTGGCATGTTCCAGAGGAGGTTACCGTGGAGCCGAGGAGCTCACACCAAGTGACTTATCCCATGAACTCCTCTCCTTCAGTCCTCCTCCTTCACGCTATGAAAGAAGTGCAATTGTACCTTGTGCTTTTTATATATTCTACTTAGAGCGCCCTCGAACAGCTCTTTAAGGACAAAGCCGAGCAAACAAATGAGCTGATAAATTCTCCGTCTCTCGCAGTTTGGGTTCCGTGGTCGGCTGCTTGTTCCTCAAATAACAACACTAAGGGTCTTAACAGCAGGTGAAGGGTTTTGTTCCTTCAAGTTGAGATGCTTCTGGGAAAAAACACACACACACACACGTTCCCTCCACTTATGAATGACTGATGGAACAAAAAGCAAACAGCTTACTGCGCTCGTTCCTGAGAGCAGGATAACATGGAACACAAATCCTTTGTTGACAAAATGATAACTGTTGTTGAAGCTGGATCCCTGGTTTAGTGATTCAGAGATGCCCTCTCTAAAGCCGCCTGCCCCGAGCAACAGTTGCTGTCAGTCCGTAGTTATATAATACTACAGGGGCTTACCTTGATCGACAGGGAAATGGCCGTGAGGCTGACGTACGGAAGAGTGAAGCTGCCACAACTCAAAACCAGTTGCACATAAATGAGAGCGGAGCAGCAGCGAACGTTCAGAATTGGACAAGAGACAAAAAGAATCGTCCTTAAAGACTCGAGGGTGATGTGAGATGTTTGTAAAATTCAAATCATCACTAACACAGACGAACACACATACACATCACTACTATTACTACTACTACTACTACTACTACTACAAGTATTTCTATACTATTTTGCATGTGTTGAGATGTCATGTGAACATGATACCACGTATATGCTGAGAGAATTGCCTTTCACCAAACTGGTACAACCGAGACATTTATTTTACGTATCTGCTGCGATAAATTTGAATTACCTCAAAACAACAAAGAGTATTTTTGTAAGACTGTGAATTGAGATGCGAGCGAAACGTCTCTTCTCGCACAAGCTGCAAAACACAAAAGCAGATGCAAATTTTTTTCTTTTTGTAAGAAAAAAACAACAAAATAAGCTCAAAGGGAATCTGATCGGTTGTGAGATGTCAGGTTTCTCTGATCCAGCAGTGCCTCGGCTACGGCTACGAAGAAGAAAAACAGAGATTAGAAGCTGCATTCGGAGCTCCGTCCTTCTCCCTGTCACAGGAGCAGGAGGAGGCGTTGTCAGGCATCCGTCCTTCAACAGTGTTGGTGAAAGGAATCCATGGAGTCGTTCTCTAAAGCAATGTGTTTTTTTTACGAAGCCAGAGGGTAAAGTAGACGAGGCCACACGGGGGGAAAGGCCACTGGAGGGCTCAGGACGTTCAGGTTGTCTCTCAAATAGACCAAAAAACAGTGAGTGAGCAATGAACCCGGCGTGGTTCAGATATTTCAAATGATTTCTGCTTGGTGCATTTCTTCATGATTTGTTTCGGTTCTTTACACGAGACCAAATAGTTGATTTATTTTATAAGACTTAAAGGGAAGCGGCACCTTTGTCTCCTTCGCTTCAATAGCAGGAAATGTTTTATGCTCACTTCTAGACGGGACATAAAGCCTCCATGTTTATCAGGGTGCAGACGACGGGCTGTAAATAAAGATGAGCGACACGTCTCCTCTTCCTCACGTTCTACGAAAGAGGAAATACCCCAAATGCAAAGGCGGCCATCTTGTGCTCTTGGCGTCGTTTGAGGTATCGAGGTCTCGTCAACCTGGAACATTTGATCCGATGAGCTGTGATGCAGCCAGACGATTTGCTGTCACCATCATGTCGTCCGTCTTTATTTACCGTCTATAGTCCAGAAAAATGAAAGAGGGAGGATCGAGTTTGAGACTAAAGTTGGGTGACTCCTACTCATTGCACAGCGGGGCCCCACGGAGCCCTCCACAGGCCCCTCACTGTGACTGCTACACCGCTCTCTGGCAGACCGAGCACCCGTGTGTCTTCATCCCGTGTGTGGAGGCTAACGATTTTGTAGCTGAAGTTATAGGACAAAAACAAAGTTTGGTGTTAATTGGTTTTTATGTAAAGTTTGGGAAACGTGATGTTCTTGTACTGCGAGGGG